CACAATTTCCTGGGATGTTTGTTAAAATATATGTTCAATACGCCCTAGATGGGCTGGACTGTGGTCTCCAGGAAAGGGACCAAACGATGGTGGTGGTTTTCGGGGCCCAGGTGACTCTCAGGCAAACTGGGAAATACTGATCCAATCAACCTCATCTACTCTATCTCTTGGGTTTCTATTGAAACTGAGGTCGAGAGCTCCTGGACCTGTCTGAAGTAACAGCTATGTAGGAGCAGAGTGAGGTCTAGAACTACACGTGCTGTGTTCCCGATGAGCCATCCCCTTTTAGAGAACGAAGCTTATTCAGACCAGTAACCTTAAATTAAATTCCATCAACCTACAGCTTCGGTTAGACAGGTAACAGGACTTCTCTCCAACGCCACTGTTTCACATTCAGTAATGATCTTTCTCTGTGGATGGCAAACGGAAAGTTTTCCATTTCCATGGTTCCCTAGCAATGTGACATTTTCAAACAGTAGCACAAACTCTTTAAATAGAAAAGATCCATTTCCACTCTATCGTGACTCAGTAACAGCCACAGGATTCCTCTCAAACTTTCCTAAAAATGTCATCTTTGGGCTGGACTCAAGAGGAACATTTCAGCCAAGAAGACGCATTTTCCACTCTGTCAGGAATGAGCGAGCATGGGTTTGGAACATAAAGTGTTTTGCAATCCTCAGAAAAGCAATACTTCTCACCAAAACCATGGCAACAGCTCCGCGATACCGTCAGAGCCTGGGAGCATTCAGAGCCTCCTCCTGCCCAGATACTCGACTGGGCTTATAACCTATGTCACTTACTAACAGTCACCCAGCTGCCAGAAAGAGAATGGTACCCGACATGGCTGTTGCTATGGAGACACTGTGGGCAGTGATGCTGAGCCGAGTGTCCCTTATATTGAGTTACCTACGAGGGAGGTAGCCTGAAGTGTTCCTCGTGCCCCGGTGACTCCTGATTCTTCGTGAAAGGGACCCCCACACACACTTAAATGGGTTCCTTTCAAACACAAGGTATGCCATGGCCAAAGTTACCCTTTCATCATCAAATAGTTCCATTTGGAATTTGCACCCAGAGGCAGCATTTGAGAGTCCAGTGTCATGGGTTTGAAATTCGCTTCCCTCGCTTCTAACTCTAGGGCCTTGTGAGCTATTTACACCCTCTGGGTCTGATGAGCTGTAAGGTGACTAATAGTTCACACACTTTGTGGGACGTGTGAGAGGTTTCAGTGAGATGATTTGTATGAAAACCTGTAACCCAAAGACTGGCACTTTCAACTCCGTCAGTGCCACGGAGACTGAGGGAAGACGTAAAAGACGTGAACCGGAGATGAAAGACGCCATCCGGATGAGTGACCGACTCAGCTTCTTCCATCCGCTCCTGTTTCTGTCCTGCCTTTCCCGCCTCCTCTGCATACCGCGTGTCACTGTGCCCTCAGTGCCTCTTCCTACAAGATTGCTACGGGTCCCTCCCCAATTTGCAGCACCTCCCCCCAGGGACAGAAGTCCTGGCCGTGGCTAATGGTTAAGGCAGCAGTGGCTTTTTAAGTTACACGTTGCTACTCCCTCTGCAGCCCCTTTTCTTTTTCAGATTCTATAACCAGTATCAAACGGGTGGGCTTTCTCCCGAAGCAACCATTATCGATATAAAACAGAAAGGGATTTGTTAGCCTTGCATAATTTGGAAAGTGGTTCCCAATAATCCTGCGAAATGGTTACTGTGATTTATGATTAATAGTAACATTACTCTGCACAGACAAGAAGGCTAGGACTATAGACATGGTGGCTTGCAAAGGTTATACAGCTTGAAGTCAAAGTTGAGTCTACGCTGTCCATCCCCAGCACCTTCACCTCATTAAGCTGCTTTCCTTCTGCCTCAGGAGGGTCTGCCACCCCCTCGGGCATGTGGCAGAGGGGCTGTCTGTGTGGTAAGGAAATGGGACAATGTCCATCAATCCTGATATCTGCCCCCTCCTCAACCTGAAACTCTAGAGACTCGCACAGTTGCCCCTGGTACTTCGGTGGCTCTTCCTCTCCTGGGCACCAGCAAGTGGCACGTTCCAGTTGCAACCCAGTGATGTAGACATTCTAACGCCCATTCTTGAGTTGGGCACCCAGTGCCAGCCCCGGCTGCATGCAGGGAACCTGTTCATGGCCCTTCAGTATAGTTGATCCAGAAGTTTCTATTTACTCTTTAATAATCAGTAAGCAGGGGGCTGCTTCTCTGACTTAATGGGGTTTATACTTATGATTGTTAAAGGAACATATCCCCTCTTCTTATGGGAGGTAGTGCTTGGGGTGGTGGTGGAACTTGCTCTGCTGGCCCTGAGTTCCTTTGAGGGGTGGTAGGCGGGGGTGGCAGGCTGGAGTAGTCAAGAAGCATCTATAGAACCCTAGCCAGTTTGGCTCAATGGGTAGAGCATTGGCCCGCAGACTGAATGGTCCCCGGTTCGATTCCAGTCAAGGGCACATGCCCGGGTTGCAGGCTTGATCCCCAGGAGGGGGCATGCAGGAGGCAGCCAATCAATGATTATCTCTCATAATTGATATTTCTATCTTTCTCTCCCTTTCTCTTCCTCTCTGAAATCAATAAAAATATATTTTTAAAAAAACAAGAAGCATCTATAAAAAAGGCTAATATGAGATTCTGTCTACCAGACATGAAAATCTATCACGAGTCTAGAATAACTGAGCTAATGTAGTACTGAGCAAGGGTAGCCAGGCCAGTGAGAAAATCAGAATCCTGAGGAAAGAGGCAACTCGAACACAAACATATGACTTAAAACTCTGACAAAAGAATGGAAAGATAGATTAGAAAAAAAAGTCTTGGTTCTAGAAGCTAACAAAGATTGACACCCAAATGTCAGGTCCATGAAGGAACATATTGGGATGACGTGGAAAAGGCACCAAGCACTCACGTTCCTTCCCTGCCCAGAGATGACCAGATGGCCTCGAGGGAAGTGAAGCGAAAGCTCCAGGAACACCTGCCATTTGTAGGTCGTTAGAACTGGGTGGGAGGAAGGCCTGAGCCAAAAAGCAACCCTCTGCTCAGTTATTTTTAGCCACAATGGATCAGTGAAGTTTTGCCAACAGGGTTTGGGGACACAAATGGCCACTGCACTCTGGCCCCTCCCTTAGGCATGCAGCACTGCACTACTAGCAGCCGAGCCACCAGTGGAGAGCAGTGCAGCAGCCTTCAGGCTATGAGATCAGCAAGGCCAAGGGCAGTGGGCAGCCGGCCACTTCACAGTGAGAAGAGAATCAGAACAACCTTGAAGAGAACTGTTTGCCTTCTGACCACAGGCCTTCAATCTGACACTTCAGGTGTGACAATTCCACTTGGAGGAGGGCATCTGTTGGTAATGTTGAGGACTGGGCCAGAATTAACCACAAAGAATGTCCACTGCTGTTTTTCATGCTAAAATATTAGAAACAAACTAAATGTCCAATAATGGGCATTTGGTTTAATAATTGTAAAATAACTAAAAAATAAAATAAAATACTAGGAAGCCACCAAAATAGTATGTTTTGAAAGGTATTGAATCACATGGGAATACGTCTGTGATATATCCCTAATAGTGGAAGCAGTAATGAGGGAAAACTTATATGATTCCATAGAAACATGTAGAGAAAAGGGCCTCAAGTACACAAATCCCAGGTTAATAATAGTTCTCTCTAGTTCAGCAATAAGCATTTTTTCCTGGGAGCTTCTCTGTATTTTGCAATGTTTCACATTGAGTAGGTATTGATTTTACTCTCTGCCCCTTTATTCCTCTGTGTTGCATTCTAAGAGAACAGTTTAGTTCAATATCCTGACTTACTAATTCGTTTTTAACTGTATTAATCCTGATATTCAGCCATTCATTTGACTTTGTTTATTTTAGTGAACTAAGTTTTACTTTGATCTTTTTTCGATGTAGTATCCATCGTAATGTGTGTGAGGTGGTTTGGTTTCTTTTTAGTTAGTCAATTCTCTCTTGCTGTCTCCGAGAAAGACCTGTTGCATTCGTTTACACTTTAACCTTCAAGTCTGGAGCCTTTCATGGTGCTGACATTCCTCCCAGGTTAGGAAATTCTGAATGGTGCCCTCGCAATGTGCCTTGTGGAGACCTGTTAGACTGTGTGATGCACAGGTGAGCCTCGCCTGCAGGGAAAAGACGTGTTGCTGACACTGTGCTTGGATCTGATTCCAGGGGTTGGGAGAGAGGCGCAGGATGACAGTGAAGGATCCTAAACCCTCTTGGTTACTGCCAACAATCTGAGAGCTGATTCCTGCGGTGCCCAAGAGGCCATATGTGCTGCTCCCACCTGATGGTCCCAGGTGGGGAGGGCACAGTAGAGGTTGGCCTCTTGCTTTGGTACCCCAACTAACAGGCCTTTTAGACTGAGCCCCTCACCTGCGCAGGGGTAGAGGTGGAATTTAACCCACTGAGACTCCAAAGCCTATGCTTTCTTTACTGTCTCCTCCTCTTGAAATTATAGGAAAATTCCCAGAGGAATTCGATGGTATTTGTCTTCCACGTGGCACAGTAGGGACAGAAGGGCACATGGTGCTGTAAAAATAGCACTCACTTCAGAGAGGAGATGAGTGTTCTCACCTTAGGTCAGTGGTCGGCAAACTCATTAGTCAACAGAGCCAAATATCAACAGTACAACAATTGAAATTTCTTTTGAGAGCCAAATTTTTTAAACTTAAACTATATAGCTAGGTACATTGTTATTAACTTAATTAGGGTCCTCCTAAGACTTAGGAAGAGCCACACTCAAGGGGCCAAAGAGCCGCATGTGGCTTCCGAGCCACAGTTTGCCGACCACTAGGTGGTTGCCCACTTATGGGAAGGCCCTGCAGCCCTCTCAGCGGCTCTTGCCCTTCTCTCTGATGGGCCTTACACATTTCCACAACTGTTCTAGAAACAGAGAGAAGAGCTATGCAAGACAGGAGAGCTGTGATGTACATACAAGTGGTTATTGGCCCAACTCACACACTAACGCTTCTTTTCTAAGTTTTGCAGTTACGACTTCAGCAGAGAAGGGCCCAGGAGCAACTGGCTAGCCAGGGCTTCATACCACGTGAGTAGCCGCGTCCCGGGGGTACTGATGTACTTACTACCAGGGGACCACGGGATGTGGGAGCTGGAAAGCACCTCAGAGGCATGTAGTCTAAGCCCATGGATCTTTGTAGAATCTGAATCATCAGAAATACAGACTTTGGATGCTTTGCCCCAAATGCTACTCACCCACAAGGTGGGTAGTTCCCTAAAATGTTATGGTGGTGGTTTTGGTTTTAGGGTAAACACAATTCACTAAGGGCATCCCTCACCCTTTTCTTACTTTTAAAAGGGGTATGATCACTATTCTCCCAGAAGCATTAATTACATCATCTTTTTCTCACCTCTTCGGGTTCACGTCTGTTTGGGATACATTTATCCACAATTAATTGAATATTGTCAAGAGCTTTCTTTCTGAATTACTGAGTAGCCATACCCGTCTAGCATAAGTAGTATAATATTGAATTGTTGGCCATGATTTAGGTCAAAGAAAAAGGATTTTCATCTCTTAGAAAACATAGTTGAAATTTTCTACCAATGTTGCAATTAGAGCCAATTTTGGTTTTCTATAGAAATGGCAGAAAGGGTGCCCTGGATGAAGGAAATCACAGTTTAAGCTTCTTTAGGTCATAGTTTCTAACTTCCTGCCCCAACGAATTTAAAAATTGAGATTTATAACCACTCTTGCAGAAACCCAGGCCCCAGCATGACTAGTACTTCAGAGCTGAGTTGAGAATTGTGGAAGTTTGTCCTGAATGAAGTGAGCGGCAGTCAGTAGTACCACAGCCCTATGATGAAGGTCTGCAATGTGCAAGTATATTTCTGTGATTCAGAGCCAAACAGAACTAAGAGTTTCCCAGGCCTTTTCCTTTGTGTTTCAAACGTAGCTCTTTGTTGATGGCTAAACCCCACCAACAGTACACAGCAGGTGAGCTTATCGTAGAACAAGATTTTTAGAAGTTTTCTGAACACAAAAGAAACAGCTCGGCCTCCCATTTAAAAGCTGCTTGCACAACATGGACAATTGTGATGAGAAACTGAAGGAGCAAATCTGAGTGTGGCCTGTGCGTTGGCCAGACCGCCTGTGGGCCTGCTCAAGACAGGAGAGACCAAAGGCCTGTGGACTTTAGGTCAGAGCCATGGAATCCAGCGTCACTCACAGCTGACTAGACCTGTCTTTCCAGGAATCCTGCCTCTAATGTATAGAAGCTCATGTGTTTCACATTATCTCAAAGAATTATTCCCTAAGACTGTAAACAAGTGTAGGTCCCCCAGGACCCTTTCAGCGGACCACAGGCTACATATAGCAGGGGCCCTTGCGTCTAAGAGGAGCCACCGATTTGAATCATGTTGAAGTAATCTTCCCCTCACGGGAGTGGAGGGACCCCGCACCATTGGTCAGCTCCAGCTGTCCACAGTGACTGATAGAGCCACCCATGTGCTGAACCCTGAGCCAGGGTCTCACAGCTCGCCTTTGGATGAGAACAAACTCTCTTTTTTTGTATTTTTAGTTTAATAGGATTAAATATCTGGGAATCAATAAAAACCCTATATTACATTTTTTTAAATTTTATTTTTCTTTTTTAAAAATATTTTATTGATATTTTTATAGAGAAGAAGGGAGAGGGATAGAGAGTTAGAAACATCGATGAGAGAGATCGATCAGCTGCCTCCTGCATGCCCCCTACTGGGGATGTGCCCGCAACCAAGGTACATGCCCTTGACCAGAATCTAACCTGGGACCCTTCAGTCTGCAGGCTGATGCTCTATCCACTGAACCAAACCGGTTTGGCATCTATATTACATTTTTAAATACTGCCTCTATGTAAATTGGGAAGAGCAAATGTCATTACTGTAGTAGGGTCCAGTGGGGATGGATAGAGCATATTGTCCTCCAGGATGTCCAGAATCAGATAGTGTACAAATTTAGGAAATGCTGTGTGACAGAAATATTGCGCCCATAGTCCATCGCATCGTTAAGATAATTACTGGAATGTGTCCTATGAGTAAAGAAATGGTTTTCTTTTTAATTCAGCAAAATGAGGAAGGTTAATGCAACATCATCATTTTCCTTAGTCTTCAGCCACCTCCTCTCCACCCTGCTTTCCAAGGGTGTGGATTCTCCGTGGACAATGCCCATCCCACAGCAGGCGCATACTGCAGGCCCAGCCCGGAGAAACCATCAGCACTTGGGTCTTCTCAGAAAGCTACCCCAGGCAGGAGGGATCTTCACCTGCCCAGAGATTGGGGAAGGGAGGAGAGGGCCCGCCTCTTCCACCCACCTGGAGATTAAACTGCCACCTAACGCAGTGTGTTTACTCAGGCACCTGAGGGCAGGTGTGTGAGCCACCCGTGGGGTGAAGGAAAGAGGACCCACAGTCCCAGGGGCTTTTCGATCTAATCAAATTCAACACATTTCTAATGAGTCGATGCAGATGCTGTGCCAGGCACACAGGGCACACCAGGGAGCAAGACAGTCCTCAGGGAAACTCAAGATGTTAGGAGAGAGTGAGGAGAAATACACATGGTATAGTTCAAGGTGGAACTCCTTACGCTCACAAGAGGGTTTTTATTTCTCCATTATTTTCTTTGAATTTTGAAACAGAACAAAAAAGTAAAGGTGGGAGGAAAGGGGGAGAATGGAGGGAAGAAAAGCTGATAATCCCTAGAGATTATCTGTTTCTATGATCTCCAATTTTTTTAATTGTGTATGTATGTGCTGGCTGAAACAGCATAGGGGCCTCTGCCCCATTTACTCGGCCGTCCCCTTCCCTTCTAGACACCCTGGTCATCCTCCCCAGAGAGCTGATCCTCTTCAGAACAGTTTAAAACCCCTGACCTAGTCCACATCCCATTGTCTTTAATATTCATAAAACTGAGGTTGAGGAGGCCTAAGAAATTTTTCAAATGTCCCAAAATCCAGTCCCAGAGTGGTTCTAATTTCTGCAAATTTGAATTGTGAGAATTGAAGTGCATGCACAATAAAATTATTAATAAAAATTTTACTTTATCAGTAAAGATTTAAATATTTGCAATCTTCCCCCAATTTTAAAACATCACAAATTGCCTAAGTAGAAAGCTGATGACCAAATGAATTAATCATTCTACATTGTTATTATATGGCACTACTGCTTTTAGCTGCTCAACAGAAACATCTGCTACCCTTTGGCAGAATGAGTCTTGAGTTTGACATTAGGTTACATCTCAAGGGCTTGTCCAGTGGAAGAATGCACCCCTCATATTGTGTACTGTGGCAGAACTGAGGCCAGAACCTGTGTCTTCTGACCCCTACACGAGGCTTTGTTTTCAACTATTCAAAAGGAATCACTTGAGCTTTTAGAGCATTTAAGTGTCTACTATAAAGCAGTTGCATATATATACTATATATCCCCAAAATGTATACACATTTTAACAGCTGGTAGCTCAATTTTGAAAATGAAATGTATTTTAATAAACACTGCCTTTATAATTATTCACAGTGTGTGTATAAATTTGGGGGCAGAGGCTGTATATATGACAAGGACAAACTGGTGGTTTTTGAAATGGCTCCAGGGTCTACATCATCATCTCTGCCTCCCCGTGACCAAGACAGAGTGAAAAATTCCACTGCCTTAGCTGTAGCAGGTCTCACTTCAACTCCATGCCAAACCGACGGTTACATTGTAAGGCTTCTCCCCTACTGGCTCCAATGAACCAGACCATGTGTAATTTTCAGTTGACTAGTGAGACTAGTCCAAATGGATTTAATTTATTTTTCCCTTGTCCTTGGCCATGCGTCTTGCAGGGTTTGAGTTTGCCTAGGAGTACAGAGAGTCCACATCAATTAGAAACAAATCCTCTTGTATGATCCCCCTTAATCACTTCATTAAGCATTTACGTATTTCTTACTTGTGGGCATTATAGGGTTAGGGTTTTCCCTTTCAGGTGCTTTGAATGGATTTAAAGGCATTGCTCCTTGAGTTTCCGTGAAGCAGGGCAGGGTTCTGAGGCCAGCACTGAGCCCCTAGAATAACTTTAAACAGTAGGAAAAGGGTTCTCAGGCCGGGAGCATGGACCTAAGCCAGATCCTAAGATTGCTTTTACATTAAATATTCAGTTGTGGAATTCACACTTTCAGAATAGACATAACATCTTAGTGAAATAATCTTCTTGAAGTTAACTTAGAAATATTTAAGAATTTATTGTTTGGATGTATCTCCAAAATCTTATCTTTGCATCTCAAGATGGAGATTGCAAGTTGCTGACTTTGTCGCTATCAACTAGAACTCACAGGGGATGGCTCCACTGCCCCTCCTGTTCAGGCCCAGGGCTGCAAGAGGACATCAAGGTTCTCTATCTCTTGGCTGTAGGACAGAGCCCACCTCCTTCCCTTGTAGACCTAGGGACCTGTGCATCATCTCTCGTGCACATTGTCTTAGCTACAATTTATTTTTTCCTTGAGCATTGCTTCCTGGGTAGAATCTTGGATGACACAATTTTATTCCAACCATTTCTGAAGCCTTGGTGCAGAAGGGTGATCAGCTATATGGATTAGGTGCTATCAAGGATCAAGACCAAGTCTGTAAATATTTTGACTATCTGCTGTGAGGAAGGCCCTGTGGAGCCCAGAAGAGTCCGACATAAGTTGTGTTTCTAAGTGCTTACAATCTAGAAGGGGCCCCAAATCACCCCTACTTAATTGTCCCCATTAACAATATTGGACAACATTACGTCACTACGTGGGAGTGGGTATCTGGGAGGATTGAAGGAAATCAATTACTTTCTCTTTCTCTTTCCCGCTGCTATAAAAGTGGAGCTAATCTATATGAATCCCGGGGAGAGAGGAGAGAACATTTAGTTGACTGTCCTGGAACACAGAGAAGGAGATGAGAGAACTGAGATGGATGGTGGAGGGCTGGGGCCCAGAGCGGCTGTGACTCTCCACGGAGACTCCGAGCAAGCCGCCGCTGCTCGGAGCGAGATGTCTGGGCAGCTTGGCTCCGTGATCTGGTCAATGTAAATGAATTTAAAGATGCGATGAGCTGTCTATGAATGGTGCTGCCTTTATTTGTTTTGCAGACTAATCCAAGCCACAGCAGCCACATACTTACTGCAAAGCCTTGGTAAATCCCTGAGTTCTGTGATACTCCTCCTGCATAGCAAGAAGGATGACTGGGCAGTCCCTGTGCCCGCACCACATGCAGCTTCCTGATAGTTCTGAGACGTTGAGTGGGCAAAGCCTTTCTTCCTTTTCTCAGTGCATCCATTTGACTTGGCTTATCCCCACGGCACCTACCACACACTGTTGGCTGTTTGAGCAGAACACGGCACAAGGGTTTCAGTCTGTCTGCCTCTTCCCTTCTTTCTAACATCTCAAATGCAGAGATAGGAAAAGGCACCCTGGATTTTCGTGGCCACCCCATTTGGGTAAACAATCCTAAATCCCTTCTGCCCCCCGCCCCCCTTTTCCTTCAATTTTCTGGTTTCTTGATCCTTAGAAATAAGTAAACCAGTAATTACTGGCAAAGTTTGAATTTGTCTTTGTACCCTTCTCCTGACAAATTCCAAAATTTCCACCTATGCTCCTTCAACTTGTCCAGGTGCTCGAGCCAGGTCTTAAGTACAGCCAAGCTACACTGGGAAGACCCCTGAGACTCCCATTTGGGTACTGGATTGGCAATATTGCCAACCTAAAGAGAGCCTATAATTTCCAAAGTGTTATCATCTCTGCATGGCATAGTGATAACACACAGCTACTTGGAATAAAAATACTCATGATCTAATTTGTCTTTAAGAGTGAGGCAAAGAGAACATTACTAAACCCATTTTATAAATGGGAAACTGAGAACACAGGAAGACCATAAACTTGTTCAAAGCCACATCAAAAATAGATGCAAAGCCCCGATAGAGCCTAAATTGATGGTTTCTAATAATTTAGTCATCCAGACTTCTTTAAGCAAACCTATCCCTACCATAGATCAAATGTTTGAATTCATTTCATCTTCCTCCCAAAGAACTCTACATACATGAATTAACCCTTATGTCTGTCTTTGATTAATTACTGTCACATAAACTTACCAACCAATGATTTCCATGAGGACACCCATTACTGAACCAAGTTGCTGTGAGTCTAGGCAGCAGCAGTGAAAAGTGATAGTTCCATTTGCTTGGGCAGGCTTTTCCTCTGGGCAACACACCCTTCTCCTTCAGCTTTCTGAAATATTGACCATCACCCCTAGAAACCATCACTCCCTTCTGAACTCCTAGGGACCCTAGATCAGGACCCACTGCCTTATAAACTCCAGAGCAGCCGTTCTCAATGTGTGCATCGGAATCACCCACAGGGCTTGTTAAAACACAGCCCCCTGCTCCCAAACCTCTGGAATTTGGGGTCCTGAGGTCTCGGGTGGGGCCAAGGATTGGCATTCTTGGCAAGTTTCCAGGTGATGCTGAGAATGCTGGCTGGGGGGCCACACTTTGAGAACCACTTGGAGTTCCAGTTGCTGCCCCAGGTCTCTGGCTCTTTGATTCTGCCTCTTGATCTTTATCAGAAATACGCAAAGAGCTGTGTTCTCTCCCCCTTAGCCGGGGAGTGAGCGGCTGGTGAGAGAAGGCAGGTCCTGCTTCAGGCACAGCTGTCAGAGCTGCCACCAACACCAGGCCCCTCCCCTGTGCTGGCCCCTCTCCTCAATGGATTAAAGTGCCCCAAGATCTATTTTCTGCTTTTACCGGGCCCCCGATGAAGATAGGAGGTTAGAGTGCAGAGCAGGGCTCCAGGAGGCCTGGGATCTTTTCCTGAGAGAGCAGGGTTTATGCACACAGCTGACCCAGGCTAGTTGTAGCCGACTCTGAGGTGAGAATGTGAATTCTCTTGTGAGAAACGATTATCTTCCTCTAGGGGGGAATGTGATGAGTGCATGAGTGAATTTACAAAGAATTTTAATTTGATTGCTTTTTTTAATTTAGAAATTAAAATTCCTCGTCGATCTGAAATGTCAGGGCCCCTTAGATACAAAATGTTGCTGTTTGACACTCCCAGGGTTGGCAGCAGCAGAGTCCTCTGTGTGTTTTCCAAAAACTGAACTTGGGGTGGGGGGTCCATTGTGGCCTCTGCTGGCCCTCAGGGGAGGAGGCTAAACCCACATTCTCTGGAGCCCAGAATAGGCCAGTGTCTGCGGCAGGGCCATGGCAGGGTGGCTGTCCACAGTGTGACCTCAAGCCAATGCATCATGTAGCTTGCCTTGAGCCCTGAGGAGAAGAGCATGTTGTAAAATGCAGTGTGTCGACCCCTTTGGCTTCCTCCTGAGTCCTTGCTGAATGGACTTACCTTCTCTCACCTTGTGTTAGAAGGTTCCAGAAGACTTTTGTGCCCCTGGCAACGGATCTGGACTGTATGAATCATTTCACGGGGGAGCTGTTAACACCAAGAAGTAATGAATTATAGCTTGACAAGCTAAGATACAGGAAACGCAATGTTTCTTAGAACAATGAATAAACTCCCTTAGAATGTGAACAGCCTCAGGGACAAGAGAACCAGATAAATTCCTCCTAAGTCTTAAGCCCAATTACAACCAATCTCAAGATGCAGTCATAGTGTTCCCTTAGGGGTGCTTCTTAAGGAAAAGGAGGTGCTGTTCTTTTCAACCACTTAACCAGGCCACACTGAGATCGATTCCTCTTCTGGGTCAGAAGTGACTAAACCACAACAGTACATAACACCTACTTCGGTGAACACCAGCGTGTAGGATGCAGGTGAAGACCTATCAGTTCAGACTGTGAGATCCACCAGGGTCCACTGGACTCTAAGCAGATGTGTAGGATCTGGTTGCCTAGGGAAATGGGAGTTGCTTTCAGAACTCCATCAATACGAATCGCAGCACATTTCTCCAGATGATGTCTCAGAGCCACTGAGTGGGCACAAAAGGAGGGAAGGGGCAGGGGCATTTGAAATGGCAGGTTTTGCGAAGAAGCCCATTGAAAGAGTGAAAGCAGCCAAGAGAGACTGGTGTTAGAGCAATAGGAAAAGTGATATTCAAGCAACACATTTAATTTTTTTCTATAAGAAGGGAAGCCTCTTAATCTGCTCAAAGTATGAGAAGGGGCTAGTCCAGTATACTTGGCACAAGGCAAACAGCTGGGACTATTCTGCATGTTCCTTTGGATAACATTGTCAATGCTGGAGTGAGACAGCAGGGTTTAGAGAGAGTGTGCTTAGTACCTTTCAAGCAGTGTCCTCAATAGAGGGTAACACAGTCCACCAGCCACCAGGACTCCGAAGAGATGGCTTACTGTCCAGCACACCCTTTTGAAAATTGCTCAAATTTAGTATGCTCTTCCAAGTTTTTTCTGGCCAAAATTTGGGAGAATATGTCATTGCCTGCAGCTTAATGGTGGCCACCTGTGCAAGGAATATTAGAACTGTGAGTCCACTTGTTCAGACTTACACACAAAGATACTCAGTGCAATTCTATAATCTCTGACCAATCTCATCACTTAGCATGAAAAGCGCTGTTTGTAGCTCCTGGTGGAGGTTATTCCAGGGGATTAGAAAAACTAATAAAAGAAAAAATGGAGAATTCTGCCGAATGATGGTCTACTTCTGTGCTGAGTCGAAAGGCCTGGGCAAATCATCAGGAGGGGGAGCCGTGAGATCGTAGGAAAACCAGGGCAAGGTGGAGAGATGGAGGCTGGCGTCCCCTCGGGTCGTCAAGAGCAGCTGTGTGCGGTGACTGGCCTGTGCCACTGCTTGCTAATATCTGACACACCTTGAAAGAAGTCAGGTTGTCAGAGGGCCTAGGCTTCTAGCCCGAACAGTGTGACCCAGGGCAAGTCAACCAATTTCTGTGGGCCTCAGTTTCCCCACTCTGGTCAGGGTTGGAGTTGTGTTTCATTATCTCCAAGATCCCTTCCAGCCCTCAAAGTCTGATTCCGTTCTTCTCAAATCAACACTCTTCGTTGCATGTTCCTACCAACGAGCCACACACCACATCCAAGGTACCCATCCCTTCTTACGATATGGGACCCCTTCCCACAGACCACAGCTTCCGCCCAGTCTTTTGCAGTCAAGGGCAGAACAAAGTCAAAGAGGGTGTTACTTACCCCAGCCTCCTCCTGCCCCTCAAACCAGAGCGTGACTCCTGTCCCCAACTTCCCATAGGCCCCTGTACTTCCTCAGGAACCCGAATGCCCTGTTGCCACCATGTCTCTTCCTGTCGCCTCTGCCTGTGCTGCTCCTACTGTTTTAGGCCGAAATCCCACCTTCCTCTGTGTCCTGTGGCTTTAGGGAAGCTGTGTCCTCAGGCCTTTCCTCCTCCATTGCTTGTGGCCTGTAAGGCGCCCACGTCCATACTGTGCACAGCTCGGCCAGCGCACCAGCCAACCCTGAGAAATGCTCAGAGCCCCTAAGCCGCCCTGCTCACGTCTGCGTCTTTCTGTTTCAGCACTGAGAGGTCCAACTGTGTTCCATGAACAAAGAAAGCATTCGGACAGTGACCAGGTAACTGCCTGCCAACTGCCCTCTTCCTGAACTTAGACTCCAGGGCTGGGTCTCTGAATGCTCAGCCTCGCCTAGAGCAGGTAGAATTTCTCCAAGAAACTCAGCCCGTTTGCCAGCGCCCTGCCCGCATGCCATATGGAATCTTCCTGTTATGAACGGAAAACTGGAAGTGGGGTCAGCTACATCAGCTTTAAAAATGTTACTTTTTAGCTTGAAAAAATGCCCCCAGTCTTTCTGATGTGGGGATCACTGAAAGGCTGCAGCAGAAGTCAGAGACTTTACAGTAGGAGTCAGAGTTGGTTCGCCGTGGCCGTGCCTCTCATTATAGCCCTGTCTCAGCAACAATCAGGTGTTTTTAAGGCAGCTCAGTGGTGAGGTCGGGCTGTGGACACAGACCTTATTTGCAGTTACTTAAGGCAAAGGGCACTGAGTTTATTTCTGTTTCTGGGTTTTGTGGCATTTGGGGGGGAAATTTGTGTATATTCTGCACCTTCATAGCACATCTCTGCCACCTGAACTTATGGATAATGTAAGTACAACTTAGCAAGCGCCAGCGCTCTGCAGGGGAGGAACTGCCGGGAGATGTCTCCTGGCGTCTCTGAGCCTCAGCCTGGCTGCTGGTCTGGGTGGAGAAAGGAGCCGAGCTGTGACCCCTCAAAGGTGCTTGTGACAGGCGGTGGTCCCCACTCTCTGGAGAGGAACCAGGCTTTGTTTGTATTTAAAATCAGAACTCAACTTGTCTTCAGACGCCTCTCAGGGGCCAGATAGGAGATCCAATGTAGTGGGATTAACAACTAAGAGCTAGAAGTCAGAGCCGAGGCCCAGTGTGGCCCTGCCACAGCCCGCGCCACCCCACAGACAGCCTATCACCGAGGGCTCAGCAAATAGTCTGTTCCTAAGTGTCCTTCCAACTCAGGTTGGGCCTCAGAGAGAAGCTGGGTGGCTAACAGGAGGAGGGCATCTGTTGTCATGGGGGTGGACTCAGATTAGGTGCCAACTCTAACCCTGATGAATGTTGTGGCCGGTTTCCAAGGCAGTGGAAGAGTGCAGGGTTCACTATAATAGAAGCAGTGCAGCTTCATTCATATTTATTAACATGTACCTGCCTGGCCTTTCACTGTGTAGCCCTGATGGGGACTCAAGCTTTTTACCTCTTTATCTTTCATCCTGAAATCCATTAAAGAGACTTTTGTAAGTGTTTTTGTGTGAAAACGTAGACCAGGACTATTTGCATGTTCCATGTGTCCTAGAAAGACTGCTCTCCCCTTTAAGGAAGCTCAGGTTTCTTTTGCAGTTAGAACCAGGCGGCGGGGCCCTGTTTGGTGGTGACAGTGTGTTTTGCTTGTGCCTGCAGACAGAAGACGCCCTGCAGCGCAAGGTCAGAAGCAGGCCCGACCGCGCCCACTCAGCTGCTATGCACATACTCCAGGGTAAGGCTGCGCGAAGACCAGATGCCCGCTCAGGGCCGGGCCATTCTGCCAGAGCCCTTTGTCTCTGCACGGTTGCTAAGACCTCGTGGAAAGTGTCCCCTGACATTGGAAACTGATACTTTTGAGAAGTCACCTAGTCACTCTAGGTCAGTGGTTCTCAACCTTGGCTGCACATTAGAATCAGCTGGGAATCTTTTTAAAATCCTGATTTCTGGGCCTCATCCTCTGGAAATTCTGTTTCTTTGTTACTAATGTTGTGGCCCCACCCCATAACAAAGAAACAGAATTTCCGGAGGATGAGGCCCAGAAATCAGGATTTTAAAAAGATTCCCCGCTGATACTAATGTGCAGCCAAGGTTGAGAACCACTGCTCTAGGCCAGTGGTCAGCAAACTCATTAGTCAACAGAGCCAAATATCAACAGTACAACGATTGAAATTTCTTTTGAGAGCCAAATTTTTTAAACTTAAACTATATTGGTAGGTACATTGTTATTAACTTAATTAGGGCACTCCTAAGGCTTAGGAAGAGCCACACTCAAGGGGCCAAAGAGCCGCATGTGGCTTCTGAGCCACAGTTTGCCGACCACAGCTCTAGGCCATTTAAACAATCAAATGGGGACGCCGTATAATGGCTAGGAAGGTCTCACACTTGTGGTCTAATCTTAGCTGTGCCACTTCTGAGTACATAGGGAATGTTAACATACATACATCAAGTTCCTTTACAATGTGTCTACCCTTGAGCCCAGTAGGAAGTTTCTAGTGCAGTTATACCTCAGCAATATTTCAGGTGGGGTTCCAGACCACCACAGTCAAGCAAGTACCACAATAAAGTAAGTGAGTTGTAAGCTTTTTGGTGGTGGAAGGTCTTTCCTTCAATTTGTAAAAATGCAACATCTGTGAAGTTCAATAAGCAAAGCACAATAAAACGTGTATGCCTGTAATTTATCCAGAAAAAATAACCGGACATACAGAGATTGATGTACAATGGTGTTCACTGTGGAATTACTTCAGAGAGTGAGACATGGCAAACGGTGAACTGTATAACAATGAAGGAGGGGCTGAATAAATTACTCATCAGCCATATGATTAAATACCGCGCAGCCACCACAAAGAAGGCTTTAAAAGGATAATGATCTAAGGAGAAAAGGTCTACAAGATGATGTGTAGTGAAAAACAAAAAACAAAACTACATTTGTAATCCAATTCAGGGAAGAAAACCCATATACATGAGCTGTATTTACAGTCAGATACTGTGGTGGGGAAATATAGCCCTAACAATAAATATAAATAATTAAAAATGACACCCAGTTGTTAATCTAAGATTCTAACTGGGGAGTTTCCATCTCTCACATCAAGGGCTTTGCAGGTAGAGCTTCGATGAGCCTGGCCTGCTGCCACAATTAGACATCTCTGCTGGGTGAAGATTGCTAGATCAGACACGGCCTGGCCTAGTAGGATGGAAATAATAGAACAATGGGCTTGAGGCTTGTCTGTAAACATCTCACCTTCTAAATGTGCCAAGTTGAGAGTAAAGTTGTAAAGTCTTAAGGAATCTTAGCTTACAGTTCAGCATTATAGCAACACCTGGCTGGCTAGATCCTCCTCCAAGTTTGTTCACAGAAGTAAGTCAGGGCCTAACTGACAAGGGAACATGGGGTAGCTTAGGGCTCTGTTAGTGACCTTTCTCACCCTCCAAATGATCACAAATTGCTTGTTGGATAAATTCCATTGTCAAGATCTCTCTAAATGTTTAATTAGATAATTGTTTTAAATGAATCTTTTTTCTTTTACAACTGACCTGGACATTTAAATTAACATCACAACTGATAAGTATAAAAGTCTTAAGAATATATAATTATAAGAATAGGTCATGGCCTGACTGGCATGGTTCAGTGGTTGAGCGTTGACCTATAAACCAGGAGGTCACGGTTCAATTCCCAGTCAGGGCACATGCCTGAGTTTTGGGCTTGATCCCCAGTCTGGGGCATGCAAGAGGCGGCCAACCAATGATTCTCTCTCATCATTGATGTTTCTATCTCTCTCTCCCTATCCCTTCCTCTCTGAAATCAATAAATATACATATATTTTTTTAAAAAAGAATAGGTAACATTTTCTGCAGGCTCAGCCTGTACCAGCATACACACAGGATGTGCATCCAGAGGTTGTAGCTTAGGGTCAGTAAGCAATGTAGACCCATGTACTACTTGCTTACAGAATCACCAAACTGCACATTTTTAAAAAAAATTCTTACAAGGCAAGTTTCTCTAACTTTTCTGTGTGCCCGACTCACTATTTGTCTTTCTTTGAAAGTGGCTAGTTTTTGTTGCTAATCCATGTGAAATAATGATAACTGCATTAAAAAATTATTAGGATGGTAGAGCACCAGATGACACAATGTTTGGTTACAAATGCAACAAATCAAAAATAACATGGCATTGGAGAGCTGATCCTTTTCCTTCCCTTCCCCGCTTAGCCTCCACGGCAGAGAGGTCCCTTCCCGCTGCTCAAATGAAGCTGAAAAGAGCCCGACTTGCAGATGATCTCAACGAAAAAATTGCTCTCCGGCCGGGGCCGCTGGAGCTGGTGGAGAAGAACATACTCCCTGTGGATTCTACTGTGAAAGAAGCCATCAAAGGTAGTAGAACGGTCATGCTTTCCCTGTGCCCTAGGATCGGGGGGAGCCGTGGCCCTGACATGCTGGGCCCAGGGTTGAGGGCCATGGGATGCTGTCCAGAATGTTCCCCATAACCAGAGGTGCTGAGAGTGGGGAACAAATTCCCATCCACTCACTTTCCAAGGTGAGGTAGACATAGATGAATGTTGTTCTAGGTGAGCAGGTTGAGAACCTGACATGATGTAATCCTCAAAACATCTTCTCTACAAGGTTCCATCATGGCCATCTTTGGCCTCCTCTTGTAGAGGAAAGTGGACCAGTAGAGTGGGAAGGGCACTGGACCCCAATGAGAAGGCCTCGGTCCTAAGCCCAGTTCGCCTGCTGTGTGTTGGGGTTTCCCTAAGTTACCTCACCTCTCTCAGATGAAGACCACAATTCCCACCCCACTCCTAGGCCCTTGGAGCAAAGTTCAGGTCATAGAAGCATGTGAAAACTCTTTGACAACCCTCACATGTGCCAAAAAAAATTGAAGTGCAAATAACTTAAGGAGGAGACACAAACTCTAATTCTATCATAAACCGTATAAAATCATTTTGTAGATTTTTTTGAACCAGTTAGAGCAAATGGACCCAAATAGCCTGAGGATACTGAACCCATTCATAGAGGTGTTGGGGTGAAACTTGGGAAAACTAGAAGGAAGAAAGGAGCATTTACCATGAAAAGTTAGAGTAATTTACTTTCTTCCAATTATGTCCACCAAGAGCTCTAAGGATTAAATGTTTAATAAGCAATACACATTTAAATGTTTCCACACTTTGTCAAAAGTATGTGTAAAGACATTTTATTAGACATGAAGCCTATTATTACACTTACTAGAGGCCTGGTACACAGGATTCATGCACTGGTGGGAGGCATGGCCTGCGGGATCAGTCCGCTGTGGGAGTGACGCTCATCCCAGTCAGCTGAGTGGCGCTCCCACTGTGGTAGTACACTGACCACCGGGGAAAGCTCCTGCATTGAGCATCTGCCCCCAGGTGGTCAGTGTGTGTCATAGCGACTGGTTGACCAGTCATTCTGGTCATTCTGCCATTCTGGTCATTCTGTTACTCACATTCTAAAATCTTGCTCTCACCCAGCCATTCAAAGGCCACATGAATTTTGTATTTAGAACCTGTAAATACGAAAATATCAACTCTGGGAGAGACAATATGCAAACCTATCAGTGCCCCTAAACATACCATTGCGATTTACCATCATCTATCCTCGCTCCCTTCATGCTAATTATCCTGTGCCTTTGAATTTGGACTAGCCCACTCAACCACACACTCTCTCCATCTTTATTCTGATAAGGTCTAGGAAATGTTCTCCAACAGGCATCTCTTATCATTTCTTTGAACATTCTAGTCCATGCATGCAAACTTATTATTGATTCTTATATGGCAGGCAAAAGATCTCATTTTAACTTGCATTCTTTGGTTTATGGTGAGATTATATTTTTCTACGTGATTTTGTGTCATTGTCAATTCATGGTTACTCCTCTTTTTTTCTACCAGGCATTTTCTTCCCATACTGCTATGTAAAAGCTATTTATGTAGTAGGGGGAAATGCTAATCTCCCATCAGTCATAGATATTGCACATCCTCTACCAGTGTGTCCTTGGTGTGTGTGTGTGTGTGTGTGTGTGTGTGTGTGTGTATTTTACCTATAGCAATTTTCAATTTCTATATAGTTAGATTTATTAATCTTTTCCTTTATGGTTTCTGAATGCATTTATTGAAAACATTTTAGCTCAAGAATATAGTTATTGTCTTCTAACATTTATGTACTTTATTTTTAAATTTCAATCCTTAGTGCATATGAAATTATTTTAAGTGCATGGTTTAAGAGAAAGATCTAACTTTAGTTTTACACAGTTTTATTGATATATTTTACAATTTGCTTTAGTATCTGTCTTCACAAGTTTCTTTACATTGGTCTGATCTTTCTCATTTTTCTTGGCTACTCTCACAAGTATATGCTGGGTTCAATTTACAATCAGTTTATCACATGCCAACTTCAGTCTTGTTAGAATTTTATTTGGGACTACAGTAAATTAATAGATTAATTTTTGGTGAATTCATATGTTTAAAATATATTAATTCTGAAGCAAAAATACAGTCTCTCTCTACCTATTCAAGTCTTCTTTTATTTTCCTAAATATTTTTCTTTAAGTAAAGTCAATTATTTCTGACATATGAGAAACCTATTGATTTTGCATATTTATTTTATAATTTTGAAGATTTTTTTAATAGTTTGAATAGTTTCTCATTTTACTTTAGATTGTCTAGTAGACAATCACATTTTTTTCTGCCTTGATGCACTGGTTGCTACTTGAAAAGCAACACTCTGGCTTTATTAATATCTTATGTAATTAATATAATTGTTAAAATTATGTACAGAATATTTATAACATAAATTATATATAATTTTTGTTTTATTTAGAAATTATATATTATATATTTAAATTTATAAATTACGAATTTTGTGTAAATTTTATGTTATAAAGTATAATATTCTATAATTAAGTGTATTTTATTGTATATAAAATAGTTACATCATATATAGATGCATATCATTTGTAAAATTATATGTATGATCATATAAAGCACATATAACTTATATTACTCTATATTGTACAAAAATATTTTTATTAAATAATTTAATAATTATTACTATAGTACATAGTAGAAAATTATTATTACTTCTGCATTGCCGGTGTTTCAATAGCAGTATTACACTGTTACCTATATGTTATGCTTTTTATTATGTTGTTGATAACATTTTAGTTTGTTTCTATCATAAATGGGAATGTCTCTAGTCATCCGCCTCTGTCTGTGATAGTAGCTTTGCAGTGAAGGGGCCTCAGCAGAAGTGAAATGGAGTTAAAGAGCTCCATTAGGAGGCTGTTTGGCTTGTTGGATGGGAGCTGAGGGCCTGAACAAGAGTCATGGCTGCAGGGCTGGAAAAGAGGGTCTGAGAGGTCGTTGGTTTTGCATGATTAGATGGTCAGTAGAAGATACCACTTTGGACAAAGGAAAGAGTCAAAGATGACACCGAGGCTTCTCTTTTAGTCAATTGGGTAACTGGCAGCCATTTATCAAGATGGGGACCATGAGTGGAAGAGCAGATTTGAGGAGGGATGAAGAATTCTTGGGTTTGAAAGGCTCGGGAGAACTCAATAGGCAGGGATTACGTAAGCAGTGGGAGCTATCAAACTAGAATTCAGAAGAAAGTATTGGTCTAGAGCAGTGGTCGGCAAACTGCGGCTCGCGAGCCACATGCGGCTCTTTGGCCCCTCGAGTGTGGCCATGAAGATTCGATCGCACTGTATGTGCGTGCCCGCACGTGGCATTTTGTGGAAGAGCCACACTCAAGGGGCCACAGTTTGCCAACCACTAGTCTAAAGCTATGGACTTGGGAGACTTTAGTGTATATGGTAATTTAAACAGATGGACTAGATAAGATTGCCTTTTTATTCACTTATTTCTTAATATTTATGGAGCATCTTCTTTGTGTCAGGCACAATCCTAAGTGCTTGGGGTATCTCAGTAAACAAAACATACAGACTTCTGCTCTAACAGCTTATAGTCTAGTGGGGAGACATAGACAATAAACAAAAACAAGAAATAGTTACATAACACAATAAAAGATGATAAATGCTGCAAAAAAAAATAGAAGTAGTGCAGGGTACAAAGAATTAGGAGTGCCCGGTAGAGGGTGGTTGCGGGTATGGATGGTGTATAAAACAGGAAGAGGGCTCAGGTGAGGTCCTCGTGCAATATTTGGGATAGAGGCAGTGATTCTCTGAAGAGTAAAGAGAGGAATGGCTACAGAAAGAGGTGGAGGATTTAGTGTGACCTAATCCAGGGAAAGCGATGGGGACTGAGCACCTGTTATCAACCAGGCATCAGCCTCGTTAGTGGTACCTTTCAATGTGCGTGTGAGCAAGGTGATGTCATCAGGTGACATGTCATAAAGAGAGGGAGTTGCTCCAAGACCAGCTGCAGAGACAACACTTTGAATAGCACTTCTCATGGTGATGATGGTCCAGCCCACCTACCTTTCTGTCACTTCTCACGATCAGATCATCTCCCCTGATAAAGCGGTGACTCGGGGTTGAGGTTTGCTGTGTATCGTTCTCCTGGTGTCCGTGTCCCCACTTCCCCCCTCCACGTGCCTTTCCGGATGTGTTTACATTTTCCAGCTCTCTCTGCAGCTGTGTTTCTGTGTTTCTGCCAAGCTCTGAGCGAAATGCTCGGTCACTCTCTCACTCCCTCCAGGTTTTATTAAAGGCCAACTATTCTCCAACCCTAAGATAAAATCATCTAGAACCTTTCCCAACAGAGAACCAGTTCTCGCTCTGGGATCTGTCTTCTCACTCCCCGTTTTCAACCCCTCTTGCAGTCAGCTGAATGACAGCAGCGAGTCTTCCCCAACACTTTCCTCTGCTTTCTGGAGCCAGCTAGCAACCCCACTTCCGGCCTGCAAGTGTATCTTCTGAGTCAGGTAGAATTTCACAGGTCCCAGCGGGAGGAAAGGTAGGCTTGCCTGAGGAGAATGACATGAGGAGGAGGAATAGGGAGCTTGCTGATTTGACTTCCACAGGAGGAGGGGCCACATCTCAGAGCATACACCTGACTCCCTGCTTTTCTTTCAGAGAAAACCACTAAGAGCCACCCTCTCTCGGGCCAGAATACTGAATAACACAAATATAATGTTACGTAGGGGTGATGGTTTCTGAGAACAGAAATTATATGCTGGATTTTAGCATGGCCTTGTTCAGCTTATGCGTGGTCATTGTTACTCAGGGATCCCTCAGTGTGGAGTGCCCGGAGGGGTGGGGTGTGTGTGTGGGGGGGGGGGGGCGGGGAAGGCTTACTCCAAGCTTGTTAATTCTCTCTCTAGTCATCTGAGTATTTTCCTCACGTGACAGGAGCATGCCTTAGCTACCAAGAAAGCTGTTGATTGTCCAAAGGCCTGGT